AACACCTTCGCTCCAAGTGGTATCACCATGCCTGGGAATTCGCTCTTGTGCAACTTCAACCATGCACTGCTGCCATCGCTCAGCTTCTCGATGTTCAATAAATGGCTTACGCATTCCACTGCAAATGGCCAAAAACATGGTGGTAGTCCGGCTTCTAGTAGGCACGTCGATGTGGTAAGCATCATGAACTGATTGTTTCTTTCGGCGAGTGAATTGTTCTGGGGATGTCCTGGAAGCGACTGGTCTAGTGGGATCCGGAGTTCCTTGAGTGCTGATTCGAATTGTGGTGCATCATCCGAGTAAGCGTTGGTGACCTTTCTCTTACCGATATAGTGCTTCATTGCCTGCACCACTTCGTCACTATTGCTTGCTTTCAATGGATAACCCCATATCACACCAGTGAACCGATCTCGAATCACCAATATGTCCTTATCCGGCATGATCCCATCTCTCGCCATCTTCTGAGTGTTCATGAGATCGAAAGTGATAAGGTCACCGAATGCCTTCAATTTCCGTTTGAAAGCTCCCTTGCTAGTCTTGTAGTGCTTCATCTTTGCTCTCACACATGACTTGCAGTATGGGTTCTTGTATCGGTGCGTCATCAAGTGCAATATGGATTTCGCCTCGTTCTTCAGCACTCCTGGTTTTGATAGTCTGGTTTCCCCGTCAACCACATCGACTTCCAATAGCCCCTCTTCATCTTCATCAATGTCACTCTCCCTCGTTCAGAATCCGCATCACCTCCATGTTCGTCGCCTCCGGCTTCTTCAGGTTGACCTTCGTGATCACGATCGAATCTCGGGTCTTCCCCGTCATATTCCTCTTCAGGAGAATACCTGTCATCACCGTGTTCCTCTGGTTCTCCTTCGACGCCTGCAACAGCTGGATTGATATCAGATTCATCATCCTGACCTCTCTGGTTATCTTTCTTCTTTCTCCTCCGTCTCCGTGGTTTCTTGGGCGGAAGTTCCTCTTGTTGTGTCTCCTGACCTGCTGTGACCTCGTCTTCATGCCCCACACCTGACAGTATGCGATGAAGTATCGTAGCCAAGCCGTCTGGTCTTGGTAAACATCTCCCGTCATCATCATTCACCTTAATGTAGGGTATGTTGTCATGCACCGATAGCGGAATCTTGTTCGCGTTCTGGTCGATGAGGTATGGCAATTGATTTGCCGGCCATATGAATGAGTACCCTTGTTCCATGCACCGTTTCCCGATGGAAAAGACTGATGGTGTGCTTTCCAACACGTGTGCCTCGGACCTCATGGGTAGTTCGTCCACATTGATGTCCACCATCTCTGATGTACTAGTTACACCATTCGCTGTCATGAAGCTCACGGATTTGGGTCCTTCCTTGGTGGTAAGGCCCATGGCATTGACTTTCTCTCTTGAGATCAAATCGTGTCCACATCCCGTGTCCATGATGAAGCGTATTGGTGGTCCATCATACCTCTCCACAGCCATGAACATCGTGGCTCCTGGTATCGTGTAGTTGACAAAATCCTTCCTTACTACCTCTCTGGTGTTGAAATCAGACAGGTCGACGTTCACCTCGATTCCTTCATCTTGAGTGATTTGTATCCATGCCTTGGCAATGTGTTCAGCATAGAATAGCTCCATCATCTTACCTTTGGCATGTGCTACTCGTGCAGCTATGTTGCTCACTCTGAGGGCTCTCAACGACGAAATGAGCTCGGTGTCCACCTTCTGCACCTCATTCTTCTTCTTCTTGGAGGGACGGTTGTTTAGCTCGTTACCAGGATCGCAGGTGAACGTGGTCACATTCGCCTGGTCATCGAATCTGACTTTAAAGCGAAGCGCCAGCTTACCTTGTTGTACGTTGGGAAGTGCGGGTTGTACGTCCTCGTCATCACTCTCGATGTCTCCGCAAAGCATGAAGGCTGGCGCAGCCGGTTTGGGCTTGGCTTTGCCTCTAGCCTCTTGTTTTGTAGCAGGAGCAGCGTGATGCTGACGTCGACATTTGTCCCCGAACTTGCACGATCCTTTCTGCCAATTCCAACAGATCTGATCCTTCACTGGCCTAGGGCTACTGCTCCTGCCACCGGGACTCTTTGATCTGTCACCCTTGAGGTTTTCTGGTTTCTTAGCAGAACTCTTGTGCTTCTCTTGGTGACTAAACTTGCATTTGTCTCCTCTAGATTATCCGTTTTTCCCATGGAAGTGGAAAGCGCATCCTATCTTGGACGTATCTGCTGGAGTCGCTGACCTGCCACGATCCCCTTTTGGGCTCTTCGTGGTTGATCTTCCACGATCCTGCTTCTTGTCCTTCTTGTTGTGGTCCTTCGGATTAGCCTGAGGAAGTACTGGAGCGGCGTCATGTTTCGGTGGATCGGTCTTGGTATTCTTGGGTTTCGCTTTAGGGTCCTTCTTCTCCGCCGCTGGTGTGGCTTTCACGATGTTCCCAAAAGCTTTTTCCCTTTCTTTCTTGTTTGTGGTCTCAATTGATTTCCGTATCCACTTCGTCATGATCTCTCGTAACTTCTGGTAGGTCTTATCCGGATCCTTATCCAACATGTTGTCGTACACAGACAAGTCTAACGCCATAACTTTGGAATCCTTAATCTTATCCCAAAGCAGGTTGCGAAGTGCTTTGTCAGGAAGCATGTCATCCGCATCCATACCTGATATGATCTCATCCCACTGTCCAAGGAATCTGGATAGTTGATTATCCCCAGGGAACTTTAGATCGAATAAGTGCTTGGATGCATACATCACATCAACGTTGTCGGCACTCCGGAAACTATCGACGATCAACGCTAACATTTCTCGTCCCTTGACCATTCCAGGAGTTGTGCCTCTCGCACGTCTCTGCATCATCTGCCTCACCTTCAGTTGTACGTCATGAGATCTCTCACCTGCTGCGTGGATGATCGTATGTAGGGTGATACCTAGCTTAGCGTCTATGCTAGCGAATCTTGCTTCGCCTGATGTCTCGAGTAGAAATGGGTCATATGGTGATCTGAAGGCATCCGAGAGCCATTGGATCCAGTCTTCTTGTTTCTCGTCGCCCGATGCCGTCACGACTGCCGCTACAACCTGGGATTTCCAAACCTCCAGGTCGTGTATCTTGGGCCATGCAGGGATGTTGATCTTCTCGTGTTCCTTCCGAGATATCTTGGAGCCGCCTGAGCTAGAGGATGAAGCGGCACCATGTTCGGTTGCGGCTGCATTCTCTGCACTTGTGCGCTCCTCTTCGTACCTCTTCCGGTACTTATTCCTCTCATCTCTGAGCCGTGATGCATGCGCTTCGAATTCCATCATGTCCTGTTGGTTCTGCATCATACCTTCGTAGTACTCAATTGCCTCTCCTCGGACCTTAATAACTTTTCAGTACGTTCAAGTTCCGCTCTGAGCTTGGTCATCATCTCATTCTCCACACTGGGTTCTGATCCCATGTCTGGTGGTTTCAACTTCAGTGCGACCTTCAATTGTGCTTCACTTGCGCTTGATTCGATCAATTCTTCCTGAAGACGTTTCAGCATCCTCTCTTTACGTAGAATGTCCTCTTCCAACATGTTCACCTTGGCTTCGGCCTTCTTGAGTTCGGCGCTAGATGGTTGAAACGGTCGATCGGATCCTTGAATCCTCGTCTGAGTCAACTCCTCGTTCGCCTTCTTCAATTGCTCTCTGATGTTCAAGATGAACTTGTCCTGAGTATTAGATCGGTTGTTGAGCTCCTCATTCTCTTCTGATAACCATTTGATCTTGTTTGCATACATTGCTTCCCTCATCTTCATCTCTTCAGCATATTCGTGTTTGTTTCTGGCACTCTGCCTTTGTAGTCCAACTAACTCCTGTCTACACAGATCCTTGACGTTCTCAGCATCTGCGATTGTAGTCATGACCTCGGTTACGGCTCGATCTCTTTCCGCCGATATAGCCTGGATCTCTTCCGTGCCGATGTTCACAACTTGACTAACCATCTCTGCGCTGTTGCGATCAGCGTACTCCCCTAACTGGGTGAGACGATCCCGCATTGCCACACGATCAGTGTCCATCTGGTATTGCAGGTCGTGTGCTGCTGAGAGCAAACAGTCTCTGGATTCTGTAAGTTGGGAGATTCTTCGTTGATTTCCATATCCATCCTTCAACATAACATTCTTCGAGGTGTGCCATCACTACTTCGTGGACTTCGGTCTCGTGTTGTATAATCTGGTTCTGTCTCTGCTCACATTCGACCATCCATGCGTTTTGGTGGTTCAACATATGCACTTCGGCAAGTAGTTGCGCACACTTCGCATTCAGGTCTCCATCGGCCCGTGCTAGTTGTAGGTTGTCAGTGCTTGCCCTTGCTCGATCTCCAGCTTCGCTGTCCGACGGCACTGGTACAGCTGACCCATCCTGCAATGCTAACACTCTCACAGCTCCGGTGTCAGTCCTCCTCCTTGTCTCCCTAGGGCTACGGCCTGATCTCGGTGTCCCCCACGGTGGTGTCGAGTGCGCTGACGGGGAACGACTTCGTGCTCTACCTGTCGCATCTTCTCTCACCGCTGTCAGAGTCTCCGCTTCGATCGTACCTGGACTAGAGTTGTGGGATGCACTCATCCGATCTGCGGCCGCAGCAGCTGCTCCAAAAGATGCAGTGCTGGCGTCGGATTGGTCCATCTTCAGTGACTGAGGGTAACTGATCTATCCGATGCGTGTGCGTTTAGATGGTGTTGTGTAAGGCCGCAGCTCGTACCCAGCTCAAAGGAGTCTGGTTACGGCTGATAACCTGCGAACGGATGGAAAGGTGTGCCCTGGCCCCGTTCTAGCTCTTAGGTCAACATGAAGCTCGCGCGCTAAAGCTCCTTTTTACCTGGTTGGGCACTTGAGCCAAAATGTATATGGCATGTACCTGTATAGCGACTATACTGGGACCCCATCCCTATTGACATATAATAAATACTCCACTAGTTCTGAGGTAGAAAAAGGTCCAGCTCAAAGGTTCTCTTTTCTATTGGTTTCTCTCCTTCTCGTCAGCTGCACTCCAAGTGGCCCAGGCACCTCGAAGACGGATGGCAGCGCCTTGATGGACATGTACCTCGCACGTTCCAAGCGACGATGGATCCATGCACACAACGCGGGCGCCACGCGGTTGTGGGCGGGTTTGGGAAGAAGCCGCAACCCACTAAACGCATCTAAACGCTCCAAACAGGCCTTTGGGTCCCTCTCCACTGATGGATTTGAGAAGAATCCCTCCATACAAGGGTCCGCCCCCACTTGGGTTAGGAGCTTCTGGGCAGTGTGTCGGTTTGTCTGAATTTCTGACGGAAAGCCGCAAGTCATTGAAAGCTGTTTGCTTGGAACCGGCGCGTCTTCTTCTCGAGTGGCAGCTATATAATTGTTATGAAGCTTGGCAAGAACTTGAGATGGACCTGGTTTTATGCTGAGCACAATTCACAAACAACAAATAGATCTCTCTCCTTGTACAAGTAGCCCTCAGAGTCTAGGCAGCCTTTTTGAAAGCTCCAGCAGTGTCTTGGTCCCAATGTATGAGGCATCAACCAAATTTTCTATTGCGATTCTATATCACTGCCCAACACTAGAGTTTGAATGAAGAATGGATTGCATGTTTCATTGGTGAGTCTAAACACTTCCTGAATGTGCTCACATTGTCAATGCTCAAAGGAGAAGCCCCCCGCAGCCCAAAGTGCTGAGACTTTAAAAAGGCTCCTGGAGGCCCCTGGTAAAGCCAACACATCCCCAGCGCAGCGCACGTGTGGATGAGTCTGAAAAGACCACTTCCCACCTCTTCCCAAACGCCGCGTGTGTTTCTTTGGTTCTGCGCCCAAAATCCGAGAAGGACCGGAGGATCGCCCTGCTTTGCCTCTTCCAAAGCTGTTGTCCATCTTTCACCCTCCATCTTTCTCCATCTGCGTCCAGGCGGCTGCTTCACGGTATCGATCTTCGAGCCGGCCACCTACGAAAGCTGGAAAGTCCCGGCTCGTGGGGAAAGCGCGGCTCACGGCACCAAGTAGCCGTGGTGATCGTTTTTGTTAGGGTCCCTCCACCTAGTAGCTTCTTGCTCCTAGTAGCGATGCCCTTTGTTACTAGTAGCTTCTTTGTCACTAGTAGCCCCAACAAACTTACCCTGGAAACGACATGGCCATGAGAAGCTTGGCTGTGATTCACTTTGACCATGTGGAGCGGGACAACAATACTGCGACTGTTTCTAGAGCATTTTTCAGCTCCAAACTAGTGGTACTGTGAGCCTTTGCTCTTTGTGACTGTGGCATCCGCTGTCCTGCAATGCAGTCATCCTGTTGTATCCACTTCCCGCGTTTCCGGGAACCTTCTGTCTAGGCAAGCTGTTAAGGACAAATCCCGAAAGGCTAGAATGGGAGTCTACTCAAAGGTGGCCTTCTTAGGCTATTTGTTCATGACCAAATTGCTGATGCTTGCAACGAAAACCATCACCTAAACCCCCCTGCTGGGGCTCCAACACCTTCAATGGATGGTTTTGCTCCCCCCCGTGCTGGGTTGGACCTTGTGATGAACGCTTCCATGTAGGCATGTCATGCAAAGCGCAACCTTGCCATTGCCTACCAATGCACCAACACCAGTGCCTACAGGAACATGAGTCCAACCAAACACAGCAAAAAAAAGAACCAAAACAACACAAACAACTAAAACAAACAAAAACGGATGCAAGGCGACTCGCTCTTCCTCCCTCCGCACCATTCGTTCCCCGAAGCGCGCCGTGGAGTACATGTGGATGCGGTAAGGCTGACCCGATTCCTGCGCTTTCTGGGCATGCCCAAATCCGTGCAAACCCAGGCGAACCGAACCCCTGTGGATTCTGGTCCTGCAGGAATCATTGATTGGATTTAGAGGGAAAGCACGTGAAAACACCTACATGCTTTGGTTTACCGGCTGGGAAAACTCTGGATGTTGCAAATATTGGAACCTTTGTGCCTCTCCAAGGATGCAGCCAATGGGAAAAGGAACAGTTTCCATGGCATTGGCTGGGGAGTCTCCCTAAATACTGTATAATACGTCCATGTCTTGGACTTCACAACCAGCTTCTTTCTACCACTAACCAATGACAAGAACAAGAAGACACGTGGCCTAACAGTTCCTTTTCTTGGAGTTCCAGCAGCCTGGATCTTCGTACACAGCTGACCATCGCTTCATGTTCCCAAAAAATTGAACGGAAAACACCACCATTTTCCATCATTGATTTAATGGCTTTTCACTAAACAACCATTTCTTGCTAAGGACTTTGGCACTACGACACCAAATCATGTGTTCTTTTGTTTAAATTCTTAGAAGGCTGAACAGGGTCCACACCGGTGGGACACCGGTGGGAACTGCTTCAAGCCTCACTACCCGACAGCCTCATGGACCCTTCAGAACCACTGCTTTGAGGCAAAGAGCCGAACTCGGGGTGCCAAAGCCACAGGGTCCATGGGTTAGTTTTCGGGTGTATTCCTTCAAGCCAAGTGTCAAATCGGCCGCTGGGGTCTGTATCCACATCGTAGTAGTCCACGCGGTTGGGGATCAGGCCAGCTTCCATCATGCCGATGGTGTTCTCAGAACCCTCAGGCAATGACTTGAACATACGCGAAGTGGTTCAACCTGGGCCCTGGGTGTTGACTGACCTACAGGTTCTTGATGGTTCTTGGCATCAAACACCAGAAGCACTTGAACCATGCACTTAAACTGTGGCCTTTGGAGGAACAGCAGAAGTCACCAGCTCATGCTGGGAGTCTTTCGGGTCTTTGGTCCTTTTGGCCCTTTTGGGTTTCTTGCTTGAACAGGTTAGTCAGCCATATTTTACCATTGCGACCTCTCATTCTCCCAGGGAAACCTCAGCGAGCGTATGGACATCTTTGAAGTGGCCATATTGGATGGCTTGAGATCGATCGTGTTCTCGCAACGTCGCTCGTCCAGGTGGCTTCATCCTGCTCGTCCAAATCACCCATCGGATCAAGCCTCGCGGCATGAGGCGAGTAAGCGTCGACGTGTTTTGATTGAGATAAACCAAACATTAGGCCGCCGTCGCCGTGTCATTTTTGTTCGCAAACAACCATTGTCCTTTTGCTCTTTTTTACACCTCCACCCATGTCCAAACCCGAGGTTTAAAAAAAGTGCCCTTCAAAACATGAAAACACCCGTGTTCCACGCCCCTCACCTCCACTTGCGCAGCACGGTGCCGTTCTCCACATGGACTCCCATAAATTCCATGGTGGGCACTGCTGCACCAGCAGCCGACTTCATCCTCGGTCGGGCATCCACTTGCGAAACTGTTTCCTCTAAAGATCGCCAAACAAGGATTTAAGGCCCACAACTTGTGGCTCGTCCTACATCCTCTAGGGCTTCCCAACTGGCTTGCATCATCGTTTCTTTAAATATGAGCAGCAAGTGTGCTATGCTACAATGGAGCATTGGCATTATACCCAGAATGAAACTGGAATACTGACTGGCCAGGTCCAGATTGAATCTGACTCTGACTGCAATCTTTCCCAGATTGAACCTTGTTTCAGTGTAGTCTGGACTATATTTCTCTTTCAAGGGAATTCTTCAGCTGCGTTTTCACAGCACTGACTGAACCAATTCGAACGCGACAGACATGCAAAGACTCTGTCTTAAGAGAAAAGGTTGCTACAGTATGCTACAGTATGGTCAGTGTCAATTTGGGATGAACAATCCCCTCCAAGGTTCATTGGGAGGGTTGGAAATCTGCAAGAACATCTCTGCATAAAGTAGAGGGTTGAAAGCAAGTCATTTGCAGGAGAAACGCAACAAACTAGTGTGCATGTCCGATGGTAGTGGAAACTTATGGCTAAACAATTGTACAAGGTTTTCCAGGTTAGAATTTGCACAAGATTGCCCAAAGGCTGTTAGCGTTGCAGAGTTGGGCTGCAGTTGCCGAATCTTGGGTTACTATATCTCTTTTATTAGGTCAATGAACTTTCAAGTGCTACATACTGCTTCCCGGATTTGGAACCTTTGCGCAAATACCGCTACTTTGTTCATCTTTGTTCCCACTTCACCTGCTGCAACTGATTTCACTTTGAATTGACCATCCATGCTTCACTGAGAAGGCCTAACTTGCCATGAAGACCTGACACAAAACGTCCAACCCACTGCCACCGCCACACCGGTTCCAACGCCTCACCACCTCCTCTCGACCACTGCGACACACCACTCCTCACTCCGCTCACGCCATCACGCCATCACCGGTCTCCGAGGATGGGCCTTTCACCTCAGGTCCCAAGGGGCGAGGACGGCTCGGGGGCTTCCAGAAAGCAGCGGTAGCCCGTGCGGCCCATCCCTTCGATCGTGGCCTCGGGCTGCGAGGAACGGGCTTTGATGGGAGGGTTGATGGGAGGGATGTTCATATAGGAACTGTGAAAAAGCTGGGTCAATGAACAAAGATGGGCAAAGTGTTCGGTGTATATGAGATGTTATGTCAATTAATTTGTGCGTGGCATATTGTGGAAGGTGCTTTCCAACATTGGTGACTGCTTTCATCTCGAGCCAGTCATTAATACAAGCATGCATTAAGAATGCCCATATATGCCCGCACTATCGCACGATGACCAAAAAAAGTGAGGTGAACACACATTTGACTGCAAACCACAAAGCAACTCACAAAGCAGCTATACTGCTATACATTCAACTGAAGATTTACAAGTCCGAACATGCTCGTGCTTCCGAGGCGGGGCACGCGCATTCCCACGTCCTTTTCGTTTCGGAAGACCCACAGAGGTTCGTGGACTCCGTCTCGGGACGGTCACCGGGGCGGTGCCTGGGGATCCTTCGGTCGGCCGGTCCGTTCGTTTCGCGCCGCGGAGGACCGGAACGGGCCTGAACGCCGCCTTTCTTGAGGCGGAGCTCCCGTTGCAGTGGGTGCATCGCGTATTCGCCTGGAAGGCGGTGACACGATGTCTGAAGAGGAGAGAAGCCGTGGCACGAAGCCGCTCAAGACACATGTGGAAGTCGTTGATTGGTTGGGGATGTGTCCCACGTCACACGAGGTTCTTCCAGTTTGGGCGGGTTGAACAATCAACACCATGTGGATCGCAACAGATTGGGTGGATGCAGTGATCTGTCCCATACACTCCATGTGCCATATATGCCTACATTGACCCCCCGGTAACCACCCCGGAGTGTCTGGGTGTGATTTCTCTGGCCCATACAGTATGTACTTTCTCTGTGGTCCGAGGAGGTCCCAGGTCAGACCTCTTGTTCGCAGTTCCCAGGTTCCGGCAGATCCACGACCACGTGCCCGGTCGAAACGAGGCACTCAGGTAGGCCGTGACCCCGGCAGACTTCACCAGCTCTTCCCTCCTCAGTCGGAGGCTCGGCTCAGCGGTACATCGGAGAAAAATCGGCGATTTCGCACAGCGCCAAGCTGGGGCGGAGAAGGGTGTGTTCAAACAATCCCCCTTGTCTGGTGGTAAGTCCTGGCAGCTTTTCCTTTTATAGAAAAAAACGGCTATGAAATACTTTGGCTATCATTATTCTCTATAAAATGAATAGCCGTCCTTTCTATAAAATGCATAGCCATATCCAGGCCTCTCAAAACCAAAAGGCTACAGATCACAGCTTGGATCTATAAAATGCTTTGCCTTGAATCGATACCACAATATCACCTCCAGCAAACTGTACTTATAAAATTAGTTGGCCTCAGAATACTGAGACCATATGCGCAGTTATTTAACACAAAACGCTAGAATTTCAATCAAATGGTTTTGCTGTAGAATCATAGACAATCATCGGGAACCAAAAGTTTTTTAATGAAATGAGTTGTCTCACTTTGGCATGGTCTTAGCAGCAATCCTCCGTTCCCCAGTTGATCTTTCTATGAAATGATGTTGTGTAGATTTATGTTCCAATTTCCAAACTCATGTTTTTATAAAATGACCTGTGTCCAGACCATTTCGTAGTGGAAACAAATACTCATTTCATAGAGGATCAATCATGGGGGATTTCAAAAGCACAGGTGACTACTGTTTAAATACCGGAGTGGGGCACTGCTCTGAACATGTTGCCATCTAAGTCACTTCCCTAGACAAGGAAGTACTACAGCCACAGCTTGGCTTGTCCTACTTGGCACAAATTGATTGGCCTCATCCAGCCTGGCGGAGTAGAACTGTTTCACAGCGGGATCTTGCTCACTTTGTGGCCTTCCCTCTTGGATCTCTCGGGTAGACTCCCTCAGTTTCCCTGTTGTGTTTTTTCCACTAGTTGGATTTGAGTGGTGAAACCACTCCCCCACAAAAAGGGTGATATTATTAAAGCAAAGCTATAAATACTTTTCCTGGCTAAGTCATGGGAGTCTCGCAGTTCGCTTGCGCATCACTGGCATCTCCTCAGCGATCACACCGCTCCCCCGTTTCGTCGCCCCGCACTCATCAGCACTCCCCCCTGGTCGCATCCTACAATTACATCTCGAAGTGTTATTTTTTTCTTGGGTCAGTTCAAGAGAGGTGTGTCAAAACCAAACGCGTCCAGTAATTAAGGTCCGATCTGTCTAACAAACAGACTGTGGTGCAACAACAGTGCCTAAGCCTAAGCAACATAAGCTGTTGAACTTCATCAGCAACCAATGTGTTTGGATAGCCAACAATTCTTGGCCTACGAAGTTGCGTCAAGGCTTATGGCTCCAAACTGTAACGGGTGCTTCAGGATTCTGCGCATCACACAACGGCTCGAGAGATCCGACCCGGCTCGACAGCCAAAGCACCAAGTCTTGTAGATCTTTCCATTCTCTTCCAGGACACCAGGCAAGAGGAGCCACTGACCATCCTGTCGTTCTTTTCGACCCAGTTCTGTTTCGTTGTTTCGCACCAGCAAGACGAAACACATCCTTGTGAGTGAAGCATTGCACCAAAACCTATTAGTATGGAAGTGGAAAGCCCCCCGTTTGTACAGGAAAGTAGTCTTCCAAGGGACCATGCCATCCACTTCCATGTTAGTGAGTCGGAGTGTAGTTGTAGTTGATGGATGTTGATGGTGCCTTTGTCTTTCACGGCATTGGAAGACCCTGCTGTCCAACGCCGTTGAAAGTAGACCACAGCGTACTACATGTGTGTGTGTGTGTGTCCAAGTTAAAACGTGCGTGAAACGCATACAATTGCACATGATATCACTATAGTAGGACTATAGGTAGGGGAAAGGGACTCTTCCTCTGCGTCGATTCAAGAGGGCGATGGCTGAAATTCAGAAAGGTCCGCGAAGTTGCCACTGATCAACCACTAGGTCACTGAGTAGCTCTCAGTGTGCCAAGCACCTACTGACCTTTTGCACACTACTCGACATGGCAACATTCTGAATGACAATGATACAAATTCATGCAAGCCCTTTGAAGATCAGCCCTAAGCATCCGAGATCAAAAACGAGATGTTGCTTCGTGGTATTTGGCGTCAACTCCCCCTAACTTGGCACTCACCAAGGAGTTTTCTTACAACATCTCTTCTTTTAATTAAGGTGTTCCACAAACTCCAATGTGAATCTCACCTGTTCTACAAAGAAACAGCTTGGAGTGCACTGAAATATCTGCAGTGGTCAGTCCACATCTATTTTGGAGTGTTTGCGTTTATCCAAGCATTCCGGCCCCACTGACAGCAGCTGCCTCGTCCTTAAAGTACTTGGAATATGCCTGTCAGAAGCGCATGACACTCCCGCAGGAGAATCTAATATTGAAGAAGTATGTATAAATTCATAAAACATCCTAAAACCCAATACACCAACACTGGGAGGTCTAAACAAAAGTGCCTCCACATGTCATGATAAACAACATTTCCTTTGAGATTGCGGCTCCTGATGGCTCCTGAAACAGCCATTGCACCCCCCTTCTTCCCACAGGTCCCACAGGATGCATGACACTGTATATAGACGAATCCCGCAAAACACACACACAAACACATGCACATACAGCATGGGCGCATCGACCCAGCCTTGGCTGGCCTGTTGTGCAGGTGTTTCACATGAATGGTCGCCTGGTCTGGGCGGACGGGGAGAACGGCGAATCGAGCGACTCGGTGGGGCTGCAGCGGTGCACGGTTCATGGCACCCTTGACCAATTGCTCTGGTTCGCCATCTGGTTGGATGCCCAGAACCGCTTGGTCGATTGCGGTGAGACCAACACGCCCATGTCGAGGCCGACGTTCACAATTTGGTCAGTCACTTGACGTTCGCCACAACCGATAGACACGTTCGCCATTCTTGGAGGCATAGGCCCTAGCTTGCTAAGTGCTTGGTTTACACCTTGTTCTTTCGATGTTTCGCATGAAGCAAGGACCCCTGAGTATGAGTTCAAAACGGATGAGTGTATATAGCTACTATCAGTATCGAGCTCATCAGTGGCCTCTGCAAAAACCTCAGGAAAACATCTATTCGCCCTCAGCTGTCTATGATGCTCGGAAGCAACCAAAGAAGGAAACCGATGTGAACGTCCGAACCTACATGTTTCCCCGTCCGATAGAGACCGAACATTGGACAAAAAAAGATGTCTTCCAGCTCCTCCAGCCAGCTCCTCCCCCTCCAGCCGGCTCCAACCGACCAAAAAAGAACAAGACTTCGCCCTATAGCCCTCCATGATGTCTTTCCAGTTTCCCATGGTTTTTGCGGTGTCGTCTCCGTCTTCCCGCCCCACTCATCCCAGGGGCATGGTAGTACTGGGGAATGTCGTTGGGACTGGGCAAATCCACCGATTCGCATTCCCATTCCACATCTTCGAGCCTCGTGAGAAAAAGCGGCCCCAACCGGACGCGGGTTGGGCGGGACACGCCCATGGGGGCGGCTTTAGAGAGGCTTCCTCTGGGCTGATCATTTGAGATGAAAACAAACAGCATCATTTTACGCTATATGTGTCTTTATGTTGTTTTTGTTGTATCAATGTTTTTTTTTTCCGCGGTTGATCCATCTCTCTCTCTCTCTCTCTTATGTTTGCTCTTCAAAGATGTCAAATTGATCTAGGATCATTTACGTAATTGTCTTTGGAAGCCCCTAACGGCTGTGAGCACAAGTGAGCACCAAAACAGCCTGGGTCTTTGCCCTTACTCTTGTCTTTGCCCAGGTGCATGTTGAAAAAGCCTTCCAGCATTCCATCCGTGGAACTCAATCGACGTCCAAAGCCCGCATCACCGGCAACGGTCTGAGCATCGAAAAATGGTAGACCGTTGATGTGCAGTTTGAGGGTAGAGTTTCATAAGAGTCATTCGAAGGCATTCAGCAAGAATCAAAAACACATTGTCAGAATTTCGGAAGTCGAACTCTCATATGGGTAGGATATAGGTAGGGGATTTCCATACGGAGACTTTTGATCACATCTGCATGTAGCAGCTAAGCAGCTATGCAGCTATGCGTCATCTTTTCAGGACTAAGGATGGGGTTCTTGAACGTTGTCCCCTTCAAACACACAACTATTGGTTCCGTCTATCCATTCCCTGTAACAGGGGATGTTGATGTTTAGTAAAGGCCTTTCCCTAAAAGGTGATACTTGTTTACCGACTCTTAGGTGAGGTGGGATTGGAGGAATGACTGATCGAAAATGACCTGGCTGAGAAAAGCCCTGTCCTCAAACAGACCTTCCATGCCAGCGTCCTTCACATAGGCCTCAAAAACGATGCGCATCGATGCGCCATGAGTCATGGAGTGGCCACGCACCGGCCCCACGGAGGGGGCACGCCCTGGATGTGGTCCGTCTCCCGAAGGTGGCCGTGCCCCGGTGTGCTGAAGAGCTCCCTGTTCACCGTGATGTTTCACATGGAAGACATGATCAGAATCTATGCACCGACATCGATTTTCCATTGACACTTGCGGAGAAAAAGACACTTTCTCCGCTGGGAGACTCACCGCTTGGCTGGTGAAACCCTGGGAGACTCACCGTGATTCACCGGACTAAGCACCCGAAGTGGTCTATCCAGACAATCCATAGAGATCAATAGAACATAGTAGATGAGAACAACCCAAAGATGCTTTTTAAGAAAGACCTGCTGGGCTTTGCCTCAAGGCATATCCCTGGGCACTACTGCCTGTAGCGGTGTCCCAAATGGTGCTTGGACAGCTCCTGATACACTGGTGGACCACGAGTGTTGCCCCCATCTTCAAATGTACAGCGGCCTCCATGGCAGCATCTGCGGTCATCTCCTCAGGCGTCGCATCCGTGGGAGGACCTTGTAACCCTTGTGACTTGTGTGACATCTGCTGAGAGAACGGATCCCAACACTTCCAAGCTTCCAAGATCCCGGTGCAGCGACTCTTCAGGGTTTGGAAAGTGAGTGCATGCACATGCACTCACTTGAATTGAACCAAGTGCTCACCTATACGCTGAGAATAAACAATATATCTTAATATTGTATATATATATATACACAGTATAGTCATCTTGACTTTGCCCCTCCTTCTAAACTCCTCCTCTTACACAAGGTATCCCAAAGCTCATACCCTCCCTCCACCTACAGTAACTCCTACACCTACATGCTTCATCGAAAAGCAGTACTTACTTCCAAACACCCGGAAGTTGTCCGTCTCGAGTGTCCGAACATTGATCTTCCATCCTCCTGTTGCCTTACCGGAAGCCCTGCCCCCCATGCCACAAACCAACGCTCGTTCAACGTCCAAGACGCGTAATCGTCCAAGGTAAAGCGTCCCTTTTCGCTGTAGAGATGGATCACGGAGCCACAGCGAGAGGACCGGAGTCGCAAGCGCTGAAAGCTGGTGATGGTCACCTCACAAAAGCCCCATAAAGCGCTGCACTGCTTCGTAAAAGCCCCCACGCGGGAAGCACGAATGAGCCGAAGAATAAAGAACATACTAGAGGCATCTTGAATGGTGAAGTGCGGATTGAAAAAAAGAATGTCCATGTTTTTCATGCCTTTTGTGTCGTTGGTCATCAAAGCTTCCAGTGTGTCACAGCTATATCAAGGGCCCTTATTGTAGCCAGCCAGATCCAAAAAGAATGTCCCAAAAGATCTCGCCTTTTTCCCTAAACGCACCAAACCGACCAACTTACAGGAGAGCGGTGTTGTGCTCCCTGATTAGTGTTTGACTTTGAGACACACGCCCTTGTCACTCGCCTTCAAGGTGTGCCCCAAGTTGTCCTTCAAGGTCAGTTGCTTCCTGGGCCGAAAAGCTCACGTCACGGCACCGACCGGTCGCACCTCCCTTCAACCGCGAAGCTCACGGCCGGCCACATGGAGACGGACTCAGTTGGTCCCCACCAAATGAACTATGTGGCCTTGAGGAGAGTCTTAAAAGACCACTCCTTGAGCCACCGAGTTGCCCCTCTAAGAAACCAGAACCTTAATATCGATTCAATTTGCAAACAGCAGTCGATGACATGTACATTTGCATTTTGCTTCAATCATCTCTCAAAAGAGAAGTTGTCATCCCTTGCTCATCTCCTCTCTGAGATTCAGCGAGCGGCCCAGCTATCAAGGCAAGCACCAAAAGGATACAAGGATACCATGATATAATGAGAGCAACATCCCAAAAGATGTAATCTGGATGGTGACGTTGGGAGACAAGAAATCATCCTCGAACAAATGTAGGGAGCCAATCCTAGCTGCCCTGGCTCCACAAGTGTTGTTAGTGGGGTGACACGACAAGTGGTACCAATCCACGAAGTCACACACAAAGATGGGCCTTGGCATGAGCAACGGTCCATAGTTCTCTTCTATTTGGAATTTTTGATGTCCTCATGATGTCCCTCTCAGGCTTATTAGTAGTAATAAACGTTTCCTCAATGGGTTGCCACCCTCCGCAGTAACCTCGCTGCCACTCTCCGCCAGGTCCGCCAGGTGTCAACTCTTTGAAGGAGTCATCCGGAAGGGTTGAAGACCTCGGGCACATCTGGACGGAAGCGCCGTGTCTGGAAGTATCAGTGGTTCCACCACAGGGATTTGTTGAAGCGAAAACACACACAATGTATACAGTGAGGTTTGGTCTCAATCTTGGAAAACGCACTGATGACCCTTCCACCATTGTTGTGGCTCTGTGGCTTCTTGGAATCATGAAAATGGTGGCCTTTGCCATCTACATATATAATATTGGTCATCAATCCAGCAGTCTAGCCATTGGGCAAAGGTGAGCCGAACCTGAAGGTCGTTCACATTCATCCACGACCGGAGCCGGAGTCTTTCGTCTCGCCAAGCGTCAAGCGTCGTGCGGTTTCTTTTTGGGCCACCGAGATCACATTGTTGGCAGCTTGGAGGCGGCGGCAGGTGGTGTTTTCTGGACAGGTGGCCTCGCAGTTGGCAGGTGGCGGCAGGTGGGTTTTCGGGGGTTTGGCTTGTGGGGTCTGTCTGAACTGTTTAGATGGTCTTTCTGAACATCTCTGTTTCAGGGACTGAAAGCGGCGAATGGACAGCAGCATTTTTCGCTCGCTGTCGGATGCTTTGGATCTGGACCACACTGGGATCTACCAGGTCTGCGAGTCTGCGATGTTTGTACCAACCATCTTGGCCAACTTAGGTCATCCGCATCAGGTCACATGTGGATCATGTACTTGTGCAGGGACTTGACCTCCACTCGACCTTTAAGATGTGACCTGCCGTGTCTCAGTTTCATGAAAACAATTCCAGAACCATGTTCTACCTTCCTCCTACATACCACCCCTGAAGAACTAAAAGGTACATGCTTGTGGCCTGGCCACAAGCGATCCATAGAAGCCACCTGTTTGTCTGGATATAGATGGATATAGTGTTCGAATGACTTCATGCATTAATCTTGTCCAAAGGCTACGGCTCCTGTACCTGCTTGACAGTCTTGAATCATGCCTCAGGACAACTCCTAGCTGCCAAGACACATTGGCACCAATAGCACCACGGATGATCAAGGAGCCATCTGCGGCCATCTCGAAGTCAGAGCTGGCCACCTGTGGTGCTTTGAGACACCACTTTCCTCTTCCACAACCACAATTAGTTTGGGCTGGTGGGTACCAGGACCAGCTGTGAACAGCGTGTTCAACTGCCTGGCTCCTTCGTAGCAAGTATTTGCTCCAATTGACCCTCACGACCCTCGAGTGTATAAATATAAGTCAACATGTGAACTTGCATCTTGGGGCACTACGCGGAGAACAAAGTTAGTGGAAACCCTTGAATTTGACCAATTTTGACTCAAGAAAGACCCCCTAGTGACATCCTACACACCGATGAAGAAACGCCAACATCTGAGCACACTCATATCTCTTCAACAAAATAGTTGTAGCTCAACACAACTGTATCTTCAACTTGATCAGTCGCAAAAGTAGGCGAAGCGACATCTTACAAAGGAGATTAAGCAAGCGTGAAAGGACAAACCACCGCTTTTGCTCATGACGCCCTGGTGGCCTCTCAAATACCCGATAGAATCCAAAGGTCTCAACTTTCCAAAGCCAACTTCTGCGGAACATCTTCCGATTTAGCTGCTTCCAAACCATGGTAGCACCGTGCCTTCCCCCAGGGATGACACACCTCACGCCTGGACCTTGTCTCCTGCCTTCTTGCCAATGTCCCTTGATCTCCCTTGCGATATACCCTCACTAACAGAATTACAACTCCAACCCCACCGCCTCCCCAGCTGCTGTCCATCTTCCACCAACCTCGGAAGTTCATTCTTCACACCTGTCGGGGTTCATCGACACCTCGCCCCTCTCGGGGTTCATCGCCCTCTCGGAGTTCATCGCCCCGGAGGAATCGCCTTGACCACGATCTGATTCCCTTCCGGATCGGTGGATTCCATCACGCCCGTGGAGGTGCCGCGCATCTCCTGGCAGAACTCGCCCCAGAGACCCAGCGGTGGTGGAGAGCGGAGGGCTCTAAGTGGCTCAAGTCCGGCATCCAAGGGTTTTCGGTGTTTTTGGTTCACTGCCTTGGTGATCTCCACCGCGGTGATGCTCAGCGCAAACATGGCACCCATGAGAAAGAGGATCACCAAAGCCATTGCTCAGCGCAACGGGGCACTTGGAGCGCTTGGCAAATGGGAACTTGGCAAGAATCTGCAAATGGGAGCTACAAGAATCCGTTTTCCGAGATTGAGGAACATGTACCAAGTCGTATTCCAGAACTCTGAACTCTTGCGTTCTTCTTCTTGGTACATGTCCTCAATGAGAAGAGATTTCTCAACGGCTCTGGACCGATCTCCAGCCCTCTGAAACGATGTTCTGAAACGGGATGGCGGGTCTGACACGAGAAACCCATACCCAGTGGATCCAGTGACCCACTATAGATAGTACATATACTAGTAACTAGTAGCTAACCATTGATTCGATAGATTTAAACATAAAACTGAACAAGGGGTTCCTTATAGAGTGGTCACTGAACTGGGATCCACTGGGATATTATTGGGTGTGTTTTCGATCAGGACGACCCGCGGCACCTGGTCCCCTCAAAAAAGGGACAATTGGGCTCATGAACCACTGCTAATCGATGCCATGAGTGGCGGGTTCTCCCTACTCTGATACCCATAGTAATTAATGTGTGTGTTTTTCGTTCTAAGGAGCTGTTGCTTGTGAAGTCTGAAGTGCTGTCTTTCTACCTGGCCAGTGTATTCTGCCCAGATTCATGTATTGGAAGCCTGGAAAAAACCTTCTATTCACTTAAACAATGGATCGCCCCCTATACTGCAAAGTAGCCCCCCCAGAACTCCTGGCGAGCCAATGCCAAAGACCATTTCTGGCAATGCCCTTTTATATGTAAGTCACCGTTTGGGAATTCAGCCCAGAGTCTTGAGGGGGGGTCAACCGGGTAAATTGTGCTGCCATTACCTCGTCAGCACCTGCCCCCTTGCAGCAAGGTGCCGACGATGATCTTCCTCATCAAACGGCCTTCTTGTTGAATCTGCGGCCGACGATCAATCCAGGCCAGGGGGTCGAGAAGAAAGAACATGAAGGAACTCTACTGTAAATCCAAACGGTCACGTGGAGATTCCGGAAAACTGTTCGTCTGACAGCTATTGAACAGCTATTGTTCATCTCTTGTCGGCCGCCCAAAGTCCCAACAATCATCCTATACTAGTTACTAGTATACTGTTGATCAACAAGCTACCACCTGGGAACAAAATCCATGTTTTGAAGGGATATGATCCATTTCATGGCTGATTCACAGTCTTTTTACTTTCTTCAGATGACCCAGGTGGCCAACAGGCAGGCCTTCTTGTAAGCGCCGGCCGCAGCGGTCAGCTCCTCCACTCCAACCATGCCACTCCCATCCAAGTCCCACTCGCGCATGACTTCCTGCCACTGAAGCTCGCTCGCGCGGTGGGAGAGAGGGCTCCAAAAGGCATGCGGCATATGCAGCATGTCTTGACAAATAATGTCGAGCATCAAACCAACGAACCAGAAGAAAGGATCAAGCAAGCAGTGTTTTGTTCTCTATATAATATAGTGTGTTGTTGTTCTCTTGGAATCTCTTGGAGAGCCAAACATGACTTTTCTTTGATGCCTTCTGATTGATAGTGAATGGTGATCCTCTGAGACTGAACCCTGCGCTTGCGCTTCCTCCCGTTTTCGGCTTCCAGCCTGAATTTGCTCGGGCAAGTGCTTGTAGGGCATCTCTTTCGAATTGTTGGCTTTTTCAGTCCTTACAACGGACAGACCGGACAGACTGCCCGTCACGTCACATCTCAACGACGCATGAGACATGACTCATATATCATGTCTCGTAATACACATTGATTTAGTTGAATGGAAGGACAACCTATTATAGTTCTAGCTGGCTAGACCATGCATATTCATATATACATATAAAACAATAATAGACATAGGGCAATAGGAATATTACTATATATGCATGTATTGCACGACTAATTACATATTACACCACTAATACGTTAATATATTATAGGTAACGAGCCCAAGGGCGGCACCGGAAGGAACTGCTTCGATCGGAACTAGGCTGAGAAGGAACTGCTTGCATCAACAAAAGGTTGGAATGGACAAGTTGAACTGGTTCCTATACTAAGATCCATAGAGTGTTGAAAGAAATGGCACTCCCTGAAACGAGCATGGAGGCGGAAAAGGGTCCCCTGGAGTGCAATACAACAACAACAACAACAACAACAACAGCAAGCCAGCCAGCTACCCAGCCAACTAAGCAACCAAACAACAACACAACCAAAAACAAACAAACAAACAAACAAACAAACAAACAAACAAACAAACAAACAACAAGCAAAACCACAAATAAAAAAACAACAACAAACCAAACACATAGTTTTTAACCATCGTGAATGAACACAAAGTTTCTGTAACACTCCTAACACTGCATGGATAGGCCTTACGTGCCGTTGATTGACGCACCTAGTGCGGCCAAGAGTCATCAACAAGGTCAACAAAGAAACGCCATCTTCCATCTCCTGGTGCCATCAAGGCTCTGAAACCTCTCTCAGCTACACAGAGCATGGTCTTCCAGGCACTCAGATGCCATGCTGCTACATGATTATCAGAACAGGGGAACCCTGCTTGGATTTCGATCAATGGGAAGAGGACACATTGACCAACCCAGTGCTTGCAGGGTTCCCGATGAATAAATACACACTGCCATTAATGTGAGGTCCTATACTGTCGCCAAACTTTCTTTGCATCACCTTTAGAGGAATACTGGCCGATACTCTGGCCTCTTCAATTTCGCTGGAAAGTAGAGGTTAAGCCTTTTCCACCTGCTCGTTTTGAGTGGGGAATCTAATCCAGAAAAAGGGCTGCTATCCAGATACTTGATGATACTTGTCCAGGTTATCCAGGTAGTTCCTGGGTAGGACAGGAATCAGTGGAGATATACTGGAAGGTCCCCATTGCCCACACGGCGCTTTCGCACCTGGTTGGTCACATGGCCACTGCCATCGGTGTCCAGGCCTTTTTTCAAATGCCGGAGGATCCTCGGCGCCATTCGGGACACACCCAACACCCAAGTGTTACGCTCCTTTCCACGAAAAAAAGGGTCCTGGGATCCGAAAAAAGGAACAAACACAGGTCGACAAAGGCACCAGAAAATGACATCCAACTATGCTATAGATTTAAGAGTGCGGGTCCCAACTTTAGTCCATCCAGGATGCCTTTCTGGTCTTAGTAATGAATGAATGATCCTTTTCGCTCTTGGTGAAAATCCTCTACACCATTCTTCTAGTTGAACTGTGTTCTTTGAACGTAGCACAATGATATATAAGTACAACATTTCAGTCATCACGGCCAATCATGCCGAACCTCTGTCTATTTTGAATGTTTGATGTCTCTCCTCATGGATTTTAAGATCATGAGATCTGAAAGCCTGGAGATCAATGGACCGCCGGCTTCCCGATTCCAAAGTTTCTCTGTCCCTACTCTGAAGAGCTCGAAGATTTTTAGACGCCAAGAGAATCCCTGCAATTCAACCACGGCGATCACCACCAACAAATTACTGTAACAGTCATTCACCTTGGGTGCTTGTTTTTTTTCCACCACACCGTTTGCCTGTGACCTCTTGAACAAAAGGGAGATCTATACTCCCCAGTTGGCGGCTCTTGCAGAACTCGACCTGCGTCGAACGCAAAGAGTCTTGAACCCTGTCTTGCACTCCCCAAAAACTATGCAAAAACCATGGGAGTGGGGGTGTTCAACATGGTCCTCCTATGTCCTCACTTCGCACATGGTCGCTCCGACCCACCTGGACCGATCGGACGGATCGGACCCACCGGATGATGTTCGACAAAGCGGTGTGCCCAGGTGCTTGAGCGAATCCTCCAAATTCTTCTCGTCCACAAAGCCTGCAAAGTCTTCTTCGGGGAAAAGCTGGGGGGCACGGTCGACCAAGTGTTTCTGAGGCGAAGCGACTCTGGCAGTCTTGAGATATGATAACCAATCTGAACCATGATGGCATGGACCCATCCCTAATTTTTTTAGTATATATTACTTCTGCTCAGGAAATTTCAAACCAAAAGTCTAGGTCGCACTGATGCAATTCTGGGAGGCGCTACCTGGAAGAGCCTAGCTCGCTTGTGCTGCAAAGGCTCCCGGAAACATTTATATATGGATTTGATTGCTGTATTTGTTTTGCCGCTAGTAGTGACTGTCAAATTCCAGAAACCTTCGTTTCACAAATACCTAATTGGTGTGCCTCTATGTTTAATCAATTTGCAACAGTCTGTGAAGCCTCGAAGAAGGATACCCCAGTCAAGAACCTTCTATTTTTCTGTGAGGCAATTGTTCACTGCAATTGCGAGGTGACATCGTTGCAACTTGAACCAGATTATATAAATTCTTAAACCTAGCTATAGCTGAACCAATTAATCTGGCTCAGCAACCCCCCAAGCCAAACCACTGAAATCGCAAATAAGCTGGAAATGGTCAAACAATGCAAACCATTGGTGCTCAATTACCAGGGCCACAAAGGAATGGTGGATGTAGGTGAAAACTGCAAGGCTTTTGATGCAAATCTTCAGGTGAGCCCGTCTAACAAGGACCTACCTAAATCATGAGGCAGGTCATTCAACAAACTGGACAGCAATTGATGAGTGGCTCCATCTCAAGTGGTCTCCAAACATTGTCCTTCCACTAGCTGCTCCCATATGTGTTTGGGTGTGAGCACAACATAATATGGATATGGCTACCCAATACGGCTCAACAAAAATAGGATACCTTTACCCCTGCTCAAACAAACACAATGAAAAACACCCCCCTGGCAAAGGCAACCACCTTCCTCGAACCCTGCTTGATCTACGCTGCTGAGATCTAGCACGCCCTTTGGGCGCCTCTGAGACGACCCCGCGCGCGTGGGTGGGTGAAACCGGTGGGTCTTTCTGTCGCAGGTGGCGCCTGAGGCATCCAGGTCCATCTCTCGGAGGACGTGCTTCAACCTCCTGGGGATGTCCATCTTTTCGACCTCCAGAAGGCTTCCATCCTCACACCTGGAGATCGAGGTTATGCAAACACAGGTGTGGAAGGCAAACAGTGGTGTGGGTGTCCAAAAATGGAACGGAAGATCTACTATATATAATAGTCATCATCTCAAGATGTAGAATATTATTCCAATAAACACTATATGCCTATGCCTATGCCTGATAGGAACATCAAGGGGTTCGGTTTGGGAGCACATTCATGGGGTGTGATAAGAGCTTGTTTAAAGGACCTGGAAAAGACAAAAAGCAGCAGCTTCCAACATGCAATCTTCTAATTAATTAGTCTTCTAACTCGTGGTACTACCCATCTGCAGCCCAAACAAGCCGGTCAACTTGTTTTTTGTGTTTCGTTTCGTTCGTCTTGAGATTCGTCTGTCTGAGAACTCTCCCTATACAACATCTATACAACGTACACATATCAGCAAATAACAAATCATATCGACGTAAAAACTAAATAAGTTTGAAATAAAACAACTAAGTTTAGAGCGAGCATTCCGCTTCTAAGAAATGGCACACACCCTGAAACAGTCAAACAGTTTCTCATGTTTCTCTAACTATAAATGGCCTGCGCCATGTGGGACCTCGGATTCCAGCGATGTGAGCCAGGTCCTAGACCCGCACCTTTTTGGAAGACATCGCTCCAGTGGCGCTCCAGCATCGTTCTGAGCAACCATAAGATAGGTCCATAGGTTGTGAACATGTCAAACCCATTCCTCATCACACCTCCAGAACAGGTACAATAACTTATGACATCCAAGGTCTCCTAGACTATATATAGGTAATGTATAGTTTTTGTATGTTTTTGTAGGAGTTTGTAACTATGAACCACTTGGAAATCCAAACCCCGAACAAGCACGGGGGTGCCGGCCACCGTCGAACTCGACGGTTGCCCCGCGAACGTGCGCGAAAAAATGCTTTCGCCTAATGTGCAACGGCTTCTCGGACGGGTTTGGTTCACTGGGCACGGGGTTTGCTGCCTCAGCGCTCCGAAGAGTTCAGGGACGGTTGACCGGTCCTCTGTGTGGTGCCCTTCACATGACCAGTTTGTAAGAGAAAAGAGATCCGTCTGCACGCATGGTCACTCATGATCTCTGAAAAGTCCGAATCGGAAAAGTGGTGTGTTGACTATTTGATGATCTCTATGATGTGAATCATGGGAGGAATGTAGGAATCCCCATTGAACGTTGAGGAACCGTAGGAAGCCCCGCAGCCAGGGAAATGACCAACATTTGCCGACTGAAAACTATATGTTTTGGTAGAATGATGGCGCACACGCACAGGCTGTCGTTCCCCATTAGAGCTGTAGAAGGCGTGACCAGTCTTTTTCTGTATACTGCTCTGATTTCGGAACTCATTTTGGAGATGTCCGAGCCTAAGACATGTGAGTTAATTACTCGTGACGCCAAGTATGTATGCTTAGGAAGAACATGTGAACAATTCATGGGCTTTATCAAATCTTGCTACATGCATGCCACCCCTCAGGGTGGCTATGTGTCGACGTTCTGATCTTCATACGTCACCCCGTCACCCTCCAGCCAGCGTGTTGCAGCAAATCAAGTTTTAGGGTCCCAACTTCAGATCCCGCTTGACAAGAACTCCGCCATTCAACTCCGCCACGGGGCACTCCAGGGCCAACCCAACGCACCAAAAAGCGTAACTGAAGCCTGTTTCCACCCACCCATGGGTGTATTACTATAGGAGACCTGCGTTTGACCCCCGAAGGTTCGGAAAAACCAACTCCACAACCTATTGATGTGGAGTGTTTCATAGTATTTCCCTCTTAAAAATTCCAAGCCCTCAAAAAGTGCTTGCGCCGATGATGTGAGGACCGCATGAGCCGAAGCACTGGGGTGTCCCCCACAGCAGGAATGGCCGGCATGGGCATGGCCGGCTCTGGCCGAGAGAGATCTCGGGAGATCGCGTTAAGGCGTGTGCAGCGTTGTTAGGCGGGGTGAGCAGCGTGTTTTTGAGCCAAGTACTGTGGAAGTGTTGAGGCAAGCATCTGAGTCCTGTCTTCCTGACCTGTCATCAGCTGGTCTTCAAGGAGTTTTGTTGCATGAAAACAAGAAATATCAAGACGTAGAGTCTTGCTAGGACTGCATGAGAAAGGTCTGCACACTTTTGTCGCACATGTGTCCCAGGCTCAATTTTCAGCCATGTGGCCATCTTGGCCGCGGGATATTTCACAAGGTCCACCAAGCTCTACAAATGGCCTTGAGGTTGAATTCTCGATCTGTGGGGTAGGTTAGGTCCACTTCATGCATTAAGGAGCACTGACCCAGATTACTACATGACTTTAACTTTAACGGTGTTTATAGGTTGCCATCTTCTTTACTGACAAATAAGCTTTCAGGGTGCTGTAGAAGGTTCCAGCTACAAAACTCATGAAGTTGATAGAATGCACAAACACTCATGGCTTTTGGCGCTTCCTTTCGAACTGCATGCTGACTGTAGAAGCATCCTATTTCTCCAGTCCCTGAGTTGTCCTCATAGGCCATCATCTTTGGCGAAGCTTGGTCTGGCTGCAATTCATCTGGATAGTGGGCTGCAACATTCAGCCGTTTTTGTGCAACATTCAGCAGGTTCCGATGCAACATCGCAGGTCAAACGGCCGAAACATGAGAGTTTTGTTCCTCACGGCTGTGAGAAGATGTACCTGAAGACCCTTCAGTTGATTGATAAACTGTGTGGGTCAATCAACCGCATTGCCTGTCAACATGACCATCCACTAAGCAAAAGGGCAAATCTCTGGAAACCTTTTAAAGCAGGACCTTGATTAACATGCTCTTGATCATGGCAGGATGGTACCTCATCGGAGACATACGGTACATACCCCATACGCCATACGCTGAATGGACGGCTCAGCCTGGTCAGCAGCACCCTTCCCACAACACCTTTTGTCTTTCCCGTCGTTGTATTTTTTTTGATATGGAACTTCATTCATCAACAGTAAACATTACATATGGCAAATGCGCCACCCTTTTGGATCCGTCGACGTTCCCACCGTTTTGGACACAAGTGGAACCCACCATGTTCCACCACACCATCGCTCACGCTCGAGCCCAACATCGCTTTGGATCATCACCAGGTGCTCTGGAGCCCAAAATAGGCCGGGACCTGGGTGAAGCGCCCGGTGTCCCAGTCCCGCCGAACACGTCGCGACGCCGAACACGTCGTATGGGTCTCCCGGTCTCCACGGGAAAACTGCGGGTTAGGAGATTGGCGGACGCAGGGAGGACTGCGTGGAGGTGTGAGAGAGACCCACATTGCATCGAGAAAAGGAGTTAGTAGTTGTATTTGTTTTATGGTCTTACAATAAACAATAATCCTTTGCTTGTCCAAAGATCCAAGAACGATAAAGGTTGTGCCCTGAAAAGAAACCATGTGGATTGGCCCAAAGGTCCAAGCTGGTTGATATTGATGTCGGTGCCGGAACATCGACAGCTGCACAAGGCTTGGCAGTGCGTTCAAGGATACTCGTGCGTGCGTTTTGCAGCTGTGCAAGCCTTGAGACTAATCATTCACTCTTTGCCATGGCACCCTCTCCCAACATACCTTGATCATATCAAACTCATCTGTTTAGGCTTAGCCATGCCAATCCCAGGAACACAGACTCAACCCCATGGGCACGCACTCCGGCGCGAGTTACATCTATACACTGATGAATCATGCGATCACTCGACCCATCAGCGGTCTGGGCGGTAGTTGGCTGGATCGGACGAGAGTTTTGGAGGAGCAGCTGACGGATGAAAAATCATGAAAAAGCAAGTTTGTTTGAGTCAGTAAGCAAACCATTTCACGTGGGGAATTGCAAGCAGTCGTGGGCACTTCCGTGTATTCCTATCTAACCGCACACAAGATCGATTCCCAAAATTGCCCAAGACTCAATGTACAAGTCTGCTAGCTGCGACTTGCTATATAGATAGTAAGATAGACTGATGACCTGCTGCAAGCCACTCGTGGCAATGATTCGGCTGAAAAAGTAGCCCTTCAGACCCGCGAGATAGAATGCGAGGACTTCCAACCAATCCTGCAACACGCCCATCAACATGTTGTTAAGCAGCAGGAACATATATTGGCTATATGATGCTATATGGCTGTACTGGCTGTACTTGATTGAATTTCATGAGGCCTAATTACCAAGTCTCACAAGCAATGCCAAGAGGCCAAGAGCTACGCATGTGCTTCAAAATACCTTTGAACTGTATCGCTCTCTATGCCAATTTGCTACACAACTGCTCTCCGACGAGCCCAGCGCTGTTTACGTTGTTCAGGGCAAAGACCCTTACGTCTCGATGTGTTGTTCAGAGCAACAACTTTCTCTCAAAGTGCTCAAAACACTCCTGTTAAAGTCTTTTGGCCCTAGGCTTTGGAATTTAACATTCAGGAATCGCATGCTGGCCTAACGCAAACTCCCAAATGTGCATGCATGTTATTCACCTTTTCATGCCAACCAGCCTAATTATATACTGTAATTGTGAGTTTCAAACTCCGCAAGTTCGCACTGACACATGTCCAGAAATGCAATGCCCAACAATGAGTTGAGCTTCAAAACAAGGTCAAACGTTATTGCAACAGAGCAGGACGTCCCCTTGAAACGCAAGAGCTACTGTCCTGAGGTGAATCCATCATGAAAGCTTTGAATATCGCCACCTTAATTAGTTGTGCAAGCCCAACGTGTGCTTGAGATACCACTGAAATCCGCCGGAATCATTACCGTGTAGTACATGTTGCGTGCTCTTTTGCCCTGTGTTGTACATTCTATCTATATACCGTATTATTTTCTATTTGCTAGTCTCCCAGTTCGCCTTTCTTACCCTGATTGCTTGACCGTCCCTGTCCATTCGACCCGGCCAAAAGCTCCAAACCGCTCCGCTCCGCCGCCAGGCGCGTCAGGGCCCGGGACGGATCCGCAGTGCGTCAGGGCCTCTGGACCCGGGCTCGGCGCCATTGGGGTCATGGCACCAGGATACTTTGATTGACCTACCGATGTGACTTTTCAAGCTACTCCGTAAGTGTTGGCTGTTTTCAGGTATTGACCCATCCCCAAATCACATGGTAAATCTCACTCACATGGCGATAGCTTGGGCCCTGGGGAAGACGACTTTTCGCTGTATGCACTTCAGGTTGGTGAGTCCGAGGATACATCCAACTCATCAATATCTCATTCAAGGGTAATTAGTTCCATCAAATTATCAGTTCTCCTCGTTTGGTGTCCTTTGTAGATCTTGACCCGATGGTTCTCCATCGTTTTCGTAACAACACCCGTGTCAGATCTAGGACGGCAAAGCCGTGTCCGACTGTGGGGTGTGTGGTTTTTCCATGAACACCCCTTCAGAACTTGGGAATTGCAATGAAAATACCACTGGAACCTTGGACACGGAGACAAAACCGCAAAAAGACACCTGGCTGTGGGTCATCAGTCGCCTCCCGAACTCCAGTGGAAAAAGGTGAGGCTGCAAAAAGAAGGGGAACACTGAGCCTGAATTGTGAACCATACCTCCCGGAAGGGACATGCCAAAAGCAACAACCCCATCTATTATTTTCTTTGCAGCTCCAAAGACCATATCGCAGAACTGTTCATGACTTGCAGGAATGGAGTACTTGGCGGAATGTCTTGATGACACGTAAAATGAGAAGCATGGGAGCTGAAAAACACTGTGTCAGCCCAAACACCCACAAGTCCTGACTCTTTCAGTGTCCTTAAACAATTAAAGGTTAACCATGGTTAACCTTTGTCCGCCGGTTCATGCTTAGTGGGGTGTCCCCAATTCCCCAAGATGCTTTAAAGGCTATCCACTTTTGCTGGGTAGGACAAAACAACATCCATCCACCGTGTTCCTTTGACACGCTGCGCGTATTGAACCAATACCGAGCACACCGCCCGGGCGTCGCCCGCGGCCACGGGCGTCCGAGCCGAGCTCTTCAGATCGTTTGCCCACAGCATCCTCGCGCCAGCTCACACATGCAAAAAAAGGAACTAACAAAACAAAATATCTAAGGCTTTGATGGAAAGCGGCCCAGTTGAGGATCTGAAACGGAACATGAATGAACATGAATGAACATGATATGGGTTCTTGGTGGTTCTTGTATTGTATGGTACACAAAAGTTTGAAGAGAGATGCCGAGATGCCGATGTCTTAAAAAAGAAAGCAACTGAAGCATTCACGTTACCAAGCGGACAGAATTGTTTCTTTGTTTCTTGCAAGAGCCTCTGCTCAAGAAGTTATTTACATGTCAATGAGGCTCCGCAAGCCTTGTCCATACGAACCAAACACAGTGACAAATGACAGGTCACGTTCCCTATTTGCCTGTACTTGGTGGAAAGCCCTCTCCATCCATTTCAAACGTCTTTCCTTTGGCACCGCTCAAGGGGCCACTGACCCACCGTAGATTCTCCCAAAAGGTTCAGACATACTTGGCCTGGCTGGTGGTTTTCTGTCGTTTCAACATCATAGTACTGCCCAGCTCCGGGCGTTGCTTGATCTTTTTTCCTTATCCTCGACTTCCAGCCTATTGCAAGAGCAGAGTACATGTACTAGTACACATGGCTCCCTCCATATGGCAGAAACCTGTGTTGCTCGGCTTAGGTCTCAAAGACCAATTGGCTGCACTTGGAAGTCTCACCCGCGAAGGACTTTTCCCATTTGGAGTGGCCCGGTGAAGATTCCACTTCCTGTTACATCTCCCAAGTAGAAACCACAACGACGAGGAATTAGTGACCACCTCAACGATGTTGGACATCCTTTTAAAGGGTGTCACCTTTGGGTTGGAGTATCTTTTTCTGCTACGAATTATATATATAAATCAACCAACCAATACTAAAAGAGTAGAAAGGTCATTCATCGATCTATTATTATGCTCTTCTCAGGTTGATGGCGGATCCCCTCCACGGTCCAGTTGCCAGTCACGTAGACAAAGGCTAGCACCTGCGAGGACAGGATTTGTGGGGAAATGACTTCATGGAGGAAAATCAACCC